CATATCTTAATCGCTATTATATTACATTTATAACCTATCGAATTAATAATGTTAGAAATGTGTCACGTGTCGCAATGTGTCATATCTGATGTTTTGTCTAAAGACAAACAAGACATTAACATTTTTTACATAATAATTTAATATATATAAACACTCTTAGCTTGTTGACTTGATAGAGGTGAAAGTGAGATATCTTAACGAACTAACAGTTACAAAGTTGTTTTAAAAAATAATGTGAAATCAGCATAAAGAAATTTAAAAGTAAGCCGAACAATTACGTAAGATTTTATAAATTGTGACCGATTATTATAATTGACTTGATTGTACGCAGTGCATGCGTTATTATCCATTTCTCGCATAGAAACGAAGAAATTTCACGGAAAGCATTTTATAGCTTAAGAGGGATCTCTACACAAAATGATTCATGGACGAAACATCAGATATAACACATTGCGGCACGTGACACATTTCTAACATTATTAATTTGATAGAATATTAATGTAATATAATAGCGGTTAAAATATGACTTGATAATTCATGTAACACAAGAAAACTGCGTGCAGTCGAAACGTCTAATTCTTTTATAAGATTTTGTAAATTTACGGTTTGTCCGATTCGATTAATATTTTTTCGGTTTAACAACGCTTGCTGAATATATTAAATAAATTTCTGATTCTAACATTCTATTTAATTAAACGTATAAACGGGCAACAAGAGCCAAATCGAGCAAATAATAACGTGTAAAAATTTTTTTAAATAATTTCGTTAAATTAAATACCGTTACAGAAGATATAAATTTAAACTTCGACTGCCACAGTTTTATCAATATATAAAAATAAAATATTAAAATATAAAGTTAGCTGTTAAAAATACAAAGTTAGTTAAATATTAAAATATAAAATTGAAACGATTCTTCGCTGTTGACCAATAGATATGCAAGGCGATTGGTCTGAGATTCAAGTTATGCGACATTTCAGCATTTACGGATATAATTCTCGAATTAAATCAATGTCAGAAAATATTAAAAAATCTCAAATTACATTATCGTTTTAACAAGTCCTTTTTCCCGATATTTCAAATGTGTGTTGTGCAAGTCTTAATACCAAATGGAAAATTATTTAGTTTCGTGATGTAACGCATTGTCATCCGCGAATGTTTTTTCTAAATTATGATTCAGCAAATTTTTAAGTATGTCAAAATAACTACTGTCTAACAATTCGGTGTCTGTATTTAAATTAATTCCATTTTTCTGTTCTTTAATGTGGATCATTTCAGATATTAGTCTTTTTTGGTAATTCTTTTCATGATCCATAATTTTAATATTGTCCCAGTCAAATGTATGTTGTTCGTTTAGAATGTGTTCCGTGATAACCGAATGTCTAGCAGAGTCTAATTTAATATTATTTTTATGTTCTTTAAGTCTCGTTCCTAACTGTCTTTTTGTCTGTCCGACATATGTGGCGTCACAATCGTTGCAATTCAATTTGTAAATAACGTTAGAATTCGTGGGGCAATTATTTTTGTCCTTTTGAACTCTTATGAAGTCATTTAATTTTTTAATGCAACGATATCCTACCACTACGTCAGGTCTTCTTATTGCTGAAGCAACTTTCTCAGATATTGATTCTATATATGGTATGACAAAATATTTAATGTTAGTATTAGTATTATTAGTATCTGTTATATTTTATTATTAGGCTTGTTAAATTTCTTAGTTGAGAGATTTTTTAATCTGCGTTTTATTTCTGTGAAAATTAGATCAAGAGGATAACCGTTGGATAGCAAAATGTTAATAGCTTTCTCTATATTTTTTTTGTGAAATTGCGGATGTGATAGTAATAAAGCTCTATCTACCAAGTTATAAATTGTTCCTATTTTATGACAAGTCGGATGATTTGAAAAAAATGAAAGTAATCTACCTGAGAATGTCTTTTTGTGATACCAATCTAAATAAATTTTGTTTATCTATTACTTTGATCATTATGTCTTCTTTCTTTCAAAAATTTTAAAAGATAGCCTTCCTAGAGCGGACAGTTTTGTAAATAACAGTTTTGATATATGCAACATTCTATCAGGGAAAACAATACAAGATACCGACATAATAGCTTCATTGGACGTTGTTTCATTATTTACTAATGTTTCCGTAGATCTTGCATTAAACGGTATCAATAATAGATGGCATTTTATAGAGTCACACACAAAGATTCCCAAAAATGAATTCATAGGTATGATAAAATTTATATTAACTTCTACATTTTTCACTTTTAATAACATAACTTACAAACAAATTTATGGGACTCCTATGGGTTCCCCACTTTCTCCGATCATTGCCGATATAGTCATGCAGGACTTGGAAACATTAGTAATTAGTAATTTAAATTGCGAAATGACTTTCTATTTCCGTTATGTAGACGACATTATTTTATGCACTTCCGCTGACAATATTACATATGTTTTGAACGAATTCAACAATTATAACGATAGACTACAATTTACATTGGAAAAGGAGGATAATCGTTGTATAAGCTTTTTAGACATAATGATCAAAGTAATAGATAACAAAATTTATTTAGATTGGTATCACAAAAAGACATTCTCAGGTAGATTACTTTCATTTTTTTCAAATCATCCGACTTGTCATAAAATAGGAACAATTTATAACTTGGTAGATAGAGCTTTATTACTATCACATCCGCAATTTCACAAAAAAAATATAGAGAAAGCTATTAACATTTTGCTATCCAACGGTTATCCTCTTGATCTAATTTTCACAGAAATAAAACGCAGATTAAAAAATCTCTCAACTAAGAAATTTAACAAGCCTAATAATAACAATATAACAGATACTAATAATACTAATACTAACATTAAATATTTTGTCATACCATATATAGAATCAATATCTGAGAAAGTTGCTTCAGCAATAAGAAGACCTGACGTAGTGGTAGGATATCGTTGCATTAAAAAATTAAATGACTTCATAAGAGTTCAAAAGGACAAAAATAATTGCCCCACGAATTCTAACGTTATTTACAAATTGAATTGCAACGATTGTGACGCCACATATGTCGGACAGACAAAAAGACAGTTAGGAACGAGACTTAAAGAACATAAAAATAATATTAAATTAGACTCTGCTAGACATTCGGTTATCACGGAACACATTCTAAACGAACAACATACATTTGACTGGGACAATATTAAAATTATGGATCATGAAAAGAATTACCAAAAAAGACTAATATCTGAAATGATCCACATTAAAGAACAGAAAAATGGAATTAATTTAAATACAGACACCGAATTGTTAGACAGTAGTTATTTTGACATACTTAAAAAATTTGCTGAATCATAATTTAGAAAAAACATTGGTAATAAATAAATACATCACGCTCTCTATTTTGACATTTGGTATTCAGACTTCGCAACACACACTTGAAATATCGGGGAAAAGGACTTGTTAAAACGATAATGTAAGTTGAAAGATTTTTTAATTTTTCTGACATTGATTTAATTCGCGTATTATATCCGTAGCATGCTCAAATGTCGCATAACTTGGCATCTCAGACCAATCGCCTTGCATATCTATTGGTCAACAGCGAAGAATCGTTTCAATTTTATATTTTAATATTTAACTAACTTTGTATTTTTAACATCTAACTTTATATTTTAATATTTAATTTTTATGTATTGATAAAGACTGTAGTGCAGTCGAAACGTTTACAATTTATATCGATTCTGTAACGGAATGTTAATTTAATGATTTAACTATTAATAAAAAATTTTTACATCTTATTTATTTGCTCGTTTAGTGGCCTACTATATATGATTGTTTAATTTTAAATAAATCTGATTCTAACATTCTAATTATAATTTAACGTATAGACGGCAACAAGAGCCAAATCGCGGATGACAATGCGTTATCCTACGAAACTAAATAATTTTCCGTTAGAATTAAATACCGGCGCACAAGGCACCAAATTTTACTTGGACACGTGGCCAAGATTTTAAATATGAAATAATCTCATATTTGGAGATTTAATTTCAATACCCCCTTTAAACCCCCCTACGGAAAATAAATAATGAATGCAAGAGAAAAATATAGATCCGAAAATCGCTGAATCGGGAATCGAACCCGAGACCTTTCGCTTGCCGGGCGACTGCTCTTCCCAGCTGATCTATTCAGATCCTTTCGATTCTATACTTTTCTCTGTTATATATATTAATGTTGGTAAACAAACGCATCTTTTAAGCCAGCTGAATTTAAATCTCAAATATGAGATTATTTCAATATTTAAAATCTTGGCCGTGTCCAAGTAAAATTTGGTGCCTTGTGCACCGGTATTTAATTCTAACGGAAAATTATTTAGTTTCGTTAGGATAACGCATTGTCATCCGCGATTTGGCTCTTGTTGCCCGTCTTATACGTTAAATTTATATTTATATTACAGGGCCTTGTTAAAACTCTTATATTCTATTTAATGATCGTATTCTGGCCTTTTTAACTTTATGATTTTTGGTATTAATTTCGAGAAAATCGGTCCATTAATGAAGGAATAGTTCGCGGTCAAACAGATAGACAGACAGTACTTATATGTATACAGGTGTGTCCCGTGACTCGCATATCATCTCTTGTAGGCAGGTAGAGCAGGCCAATAAGCGCGCCTGCAAGCGCGCGGCGAAAAGAGACAGCCCCAATAATTACAAACCAGTGCTTAGCGCGCGGTGAACCGGGAGGAGGGGCGCTTATACACGTTCGATGACCAGTCAACTGACCCGGTGTAATTATATGGGTTGTCTCTTCTCGTCGCGCGCTTGTAGGCGTGCTTATATTAATCGATCTTTATTGATTAATTTTCCATTAAGTATTAAGAATTTCGCAAAATAGTACAGGACTTTTCTATTCGGTTTGACCTGCTCTACCTACCCACGAGAGGTGATGCGGGAGTCACTGAACACCCTGTATATATAACACATTAATATTCGAAATTTGATTGCAGCATACTCAAATCATGTGTGGGTCCTACTGGTAAAAATAGCTGATTGCACAGTGACAATAATGTTTATACTAAGAAAGAAAGATAAGCAGCTTTCGATTTTGCATTTGTACCATCACATGTCAAGTGTTGTGATTGCTTGGCTGATCGTAAGGTACTACTCAGAAGAGATATCCACGTTTGTCTCTATGGTTAATTGTACTGTGCATGTATTTATGTATATCTATTATTTCTCGCAACATTTGGATCGCGTATTCAAGCGATCATTATGCCGGTCAAACCTTATATCACCATTCTTCAGATGGTAAGTATCACTATTAATGTTTAATTTGTTCTAATTTGAGTGTTCTACACAAAAATACAAACTATATTTAGAAAATTATTTTAAATATTAACATGTTTAAAAACTTAGAATAATTAAAATATTATTTTTAATATATTAATAAATAAAGTAAAGTTAAAGGGAAAAAATGCAACTTAAACAGCAGATTTTATGTATAATATATTATGTTTATATTGTAAATTTGTTCCACATTTATTAAATTATATTTAATAAATAATTTATTTATTTAATAAAGAAATATAAAATATATATATATATATACATATAATTAAATGTTAATTTGTTTATATAAATAGGTGCAGTTCTTTGGTCTAATGCTATACGCGCTTCAATTCTTAATGCCAAATTGTCAAGTGCCGAATAGTTTTGGCATTGGGCTTTTACTAAATGTGACAATAAATTGGTACTTATTCTATAAATTTTATAAAAATACGTACGTTTCATCAAAAATAAAGCAATAAAAGAGAAAAAACAAGATTATTAACAGAGTTACTTTTATTTTTGATATGTAACGCGGTTCACTCTCTCGAGCGCGCGGATCGGCTTATCGGCATCAAGGTTCGAAAAACGAGAAGACTTGAACTTATTAAACTCCTCAATTACAAGACAAATAATTTATTATAAGAATATTTACAGAAATATTTAAAAAGTGGCTTGGAGACCACGGCGCATAAGCGATATTTACAGAGTGGCTCCGGATGTCACAGCGGACGCGGTGTCCACAAGGTGGCTCGAATGCTACAGCGCAAGTAGTATCAGGAGATGCGGTAGCGTCTCGTTAAAGATATCTTTTTCAAATTTTCAAATTTATTCAAAACATATTGAAAGTATATATGTTTTACTCAAATTTCTCAAATTCAATCAAAAATAGCGAAAATATCGAAAACTGGAAGGAATGCTACTGTGTATCCTTTACCGGAGGTAACTCAATTTTGTGAATATTAGAAACAATGATTTGAAATATTTTATGAACAAGAACATATTTTTCAAAAATGGCCATATCAATAAAAAGCGTGAATTTTTCCGCGTAAAGTGACATATTGACGAAGTTGATAGCTGCAGTGGTTGCAAAGATATAAATTTTTTTAGAAATTTTTCGGTCGAAAATGTGTCATTTTTATTAAGATATGTCGTACTTGTCCAGCAGCTATATTGTCCCGAGATGCGTAGCAAAGCATTAAACCTCACCTCACTTTTTTCTGGCTCTGTTTTCTTCTTTTGCATTTCTGCAACCTTTTCTCTAATTCTTTTCATCTCTAATTTTTTGTCTTCCTGTGGTGGTTCTGATATTTCTCTCACCAATTTCCGACACCCATCCTACATTTCCAAATACCCACCTCTCCACCCATCTTTTCCAAAAAACCCACTCTCACCTCACTCACTCCCACCTTCTCTCCTCTCTCTCTCCCTCTCCACTCTTTCTTTTTCTTATATCTGTATATGTCACGTCCGGCCATATAAATTTTTTTGTTTCTTAAGAATAAAAATTCTAAGTTCATCAAAGGCCGTTTAAAAAGCGCGCCAATGTTGGCCATAGCCCTTAACTATTTCTTAAAAACTAAGCGCGGCGCTCCGGAGCGCCTAGAGATCCCACCACAGAGAGTTACCTAATAGAATCCCATCTCTCGCCGCCGCAGGCCGAGCCGCCAAAACGAAGGACTCAGAGCAGTCCCGAATTTTGCAATTTATCTCGCGACTCAAGACTAAATCTAATTAAGCCTAACTCTAAAGTATACTGTCCTAAGTCTAAATTTATCTTAACTCTAAAGTATAAGTCCTAATAAAAATTTTTACAATTAATAGTATAAGTCATAAGTCCTTTTATTATTCAATTTTTAATTCTATACGCCTAAGTCCTATACTTCAAATTTTACTCTAAATAATACTTTGTACTTATATATAAGAATAAACCAGTGTGTTTTTGTGAAACAAGTGTCTAATACATTTCTCGACAAATTCCATGAAACCTATTTGCGACAAAAACGCGCTAGTGACTAATCAGCAACAAGGCATCGAATCCCGAATTCGGAACAAATTCGAACCGTGCTTAGAGCGGACAGCCGCTCATCACAGCTAGAATAACATTCTTTTTACGCGCCGAAATAAGGAATCGATAGTGAGGTCCGCCGCACATCGATCTTTTTTATTAACGCAATTGTTCAGAGAATGTCTCCGATTTGAATTCACTATGCCTAAAACGCGACGCGCGGGAAGAAAAAACCAACTCCGTAAGTTAAATCAAATTTATCGTGAATCTGTGACCGAACAAATTTCTCAATTACTTGATGTAGAGTACCAGGTCGATCCTGAGTACGAAAAACTTTTGACACCAAAAATAACGCGAACACTAACAACAACGTCAAGCTCCTGCCGTGGAAACCAATGCCAATAACCTTCTTGCCACGACGCATGCCGCCACTAAATATCCCGGAGGACGACCCCCGCCGTACTCGCTACCTACAAAAACGAGCTGACGCTATCAGGGAAATATTGTTAAAGGTAAGTGAAATCCATGTTGATCTAAGAAATCGCGCATGTTGAATAAATTTAGACGCCACCGCCACGTGGAAAGGAATATTCGGAAAATATCCTACGCATTTTCCCTTTTTGAGTGTCCACTACGGAAGTCACAAAAGGGTCGGTCAAAAGGAAAAGGGGTCAGTCATAAAAAAGGGGTCAGTCGTAAAAATAGGATCGCACCACGTGCGCTGCAGCTCAGCACCTTGTAATACGAAAACGCAAAAGGACAAAATATTCTAATTTTCTAAAAAAATCTAGAGAAGTAACGGCGCGATTCTTTTGATGACATAATAATTATTTAAATGAATAATAACCAACTTAAGGGTTCTCACGTGTCAATGTGCCCGTTTCCGCCTAGAGGCATAACCTCTCCTCCAGAGGTTACCTTTATAGTGCCGTTTCCACCTTTGTTCTATTGTCAAGTCGGTGTCGGATACATTCATTTTGAGACTAAGGCTGCTCTCTGCCTTTCGTATTACGCCGCCTTACCTAGAGTTTCGAAATTACTCTGGGCGAGGATTCGAAAGCATAGCTTAGTTATAGGCGGAATACCCGTTGGGATAAATTGCGAAATTTGCAGCAATCGCCTCACCCTTACACGAGCCGGGGACTTGTGTGAACTTTGTCAATTCAAGTACGAAGACTATTTACGCGATCCAAACAGTGTTTCGCTGAGAGCGGACGACGAGACTATCGTCGTAACAGTAGAGTCACAGATAGATTCTACATCATAATTCGATCACCACGCGTTCCTTTCTTCCAGCGCAAATAACCTCAGATCGCGGGTATCCCCGGGAAGAATCGCTTAGATTCGCGTACCCGTAATAGCGATCGTGTCTCGTGGAAGGGCCCGAGCCCTGCATTCGTTTCTTCGCAGCCGCGATCCCCCGAGACGTAATAAATAATAGTACAATTATTTTAGGGGTCGGAAAAAATGTTAAAAAGCTGAATTTTGGTACAGACCTTTATTTTTGCATAAGATTGAAGGAGGAAAAGGTTTACCATCATACAGTGACCGTTAAGAAGAATAATTAAACAATTTGGACTCAAATGTCTTTTGCAAATATTTCGTTAAATATGAATTTTACAAAAAAGGATAATAAAGTATAAGAGTACAAAATTAAAGAATATAATAATTTTACATAAAAATGTTCTATAAGTCTTTTTTATACAAGTGATACATTTTATGTAAATAATTTTGCAAGATGTACGCTGTACGGTGAATTGACAACGCGATGGTACGTACCGATAGACATTATGTGGATTGAAGCGTTACACGCACGCACAAAAATTATAATTTTTGAACGAATTATTATTATGTAAAATTTTACAGGAAATTTTTGCCTTTTCTCATAAAAATGGCAACAAATAATCGTAGAATTTTTAGAGAAATTGTAAAATACCTATATTACATAATACGCTCTATCGAGCTTTGTATATTCACCGCACAACAAATAATTAGCAAATTTTTTACGTAAAAAGTATTGCTCGTACGTAAAAAATTATACAACACTATACACTTTATGTAAAATTGTGCATTCTTTAACTTTCTACTTTTATATTTTTTTTATAAAATGGATATATAAACAGATATTTGCAAAATAACACAATTTGTGTACTAATTGTTTTATTTTATTTTTTAACTGCCACTGTACAATGGTAAACTTTTTTCTTCAATTTCTTTGAATTTTGCAAAATAATAGAGGACTTTTTGTTCAGTTTCACTTAATCTATCATTATCTCTCGGTTGATTATTTCATTACCGGACATTTTGTGTGTGTGCGTGTGCGTGTGCGTGTGTGTGCGTGTGCGTGTGCGTGTGCGTGCGTGCGTGTGCGTGCGTGCGTGCGTGCGTGTGTGTGTGTGTGTGTGTGTGTGTGTGTGTGTACACAGGGTGTATAATCACGCTCCATCTTTAGAAATTGAATTGATAAAGTCGAAATAAGTCAAAAGTAAAGGATGACAAAAAGTTAAGTTCAAGCTTTCTTTAAAAAGTTATAATCAACAAAATAATGCATTTTAAATGTCTATATAAAAATTTATCTGTATAGATCTGTATAGAAATGGTCTATATAGAAATTATATTGTTGTGATTAAAGAAACACTATAGATACTTCAAAGCATTTCCCAAAGTATTAATTAATTAAGATAAATAAATATTTACTAATTTTGTTTCGACTGATCAATAAAAAAACATTTTTAGTTTCCCCAACTACAACTTGTGTTATAAATAATAATAATGGCAAATTATTTGAACACTGTTGACGGTTCGCTTCTCGCGTCTTCATGCTTTTCGGGCGTAGTCTACCGAAATGACTTGAGCGACAAAGATGAGACGTGTTTTCGCGAAATTAGGCCTTCTTACTCAATAAAGAAATGCGTCCTTTATTGGCCGCGAATATAATATGATTTCGCGAGGGCCAATTGTTGTTCGATAGGCGACTTTAGTGCGTGAACGCGAAAACTTGCTCCGGTGTTACGGCGAGTCGACAGAAACTTTTCCAGAGAGCAACGCGCGACTAAACGTTCCGCGAGTGATTATTAAGACCAAAAGAACGCAATGTCTCGTAAGTATAATTTATTATTAATCTTCCAATAATTATAAAATTTACATTTTTTCTTGCCGTAAGCGTTATTAATAACATAAGCATATTAAATTAAAAAAGTATTCATGAATTATTATTTTCATAAAAATGTGAGCGGCAAGTAAAGTAAAAAAATAAATCTTAAAAATAAATTATACACTATATATGTATATATTGGCCAATAGAGTCTATAGCGATGTCTTTTTGCGTGCGAAAATTAAGTAGGAATAGTATCTTTTGGTTGGGATTTTTAATTCCTATGTTTTCCTTTTATAACTTAATTTCCGCACCCAAAAAGACATCGCGTTAGGCTCTATTGGCCGATATGTACATATATAGTGTATGTTGAATTTCGA